AAAATTTAGAAAATTTTATCTTTTAAAATTATTTGTTTTACAATATCAAAATTTTTCATTTAAAGAAAAAAATGCCATGAAACATTTGAACTGATGAGCCACAGAACTTCAGTTGATTTTTTTTCACTTTTTAGCATGCTAAATATACATCTGAGTTTAAATATTCTGTTTAATGGCCATTTATAAATTCAAGCACTACCACTGGTCGGTTTTGTGTAATAGAATAAAAATATGTTACCTGCAGTGTAAGTACAGCACACTGTCAAATTCTTTTCCTTAAGGTGCACAGTAAATGTACAAATAGTTATAGGCCACTGTTTTGTAATATAGTACATTTCTGATCTATTATTCCTAACCTATTATAACGTTTGCAGAGAGAAAATAATTGAATTTTTCTAATAAGCTGTAAAATTATGCTAACTTCTACAAGTAGGCTTCTAAATAAAATTTTTGAAAAGAGTAAAGAAAAAAAAAAAAAAACAGCTTTGCTTGGTCAGCACTTTCAGAGGCTGAGGCAGGTGAATCATTTGAGGTCAGGAGTTCCAGACCAGACTGGCCAACATGGTGAAACCCCATTTCCACTAAAAATACAAAAATTAGCTGGGTGTTGTGGCAGGCGCCTGTAATTCCAGCTACTCGGGAGGCTGAGGCAGGAGAATCGCTTGAACCGGGAAGGCGGAGGTTGCAGTGAGTGAGAGAGAGTGCAGTGAGTGGTGAGATAGCACCATTGCACTCCAGCCTGGGCGACAGAGTGAGCACCCATCTCAAAACAAACAAACAAAACAAAACAAAGAAACTTAAGCGCACACACAATCCCCCCCGCCTCCAAAAAAAGCAGCTTTGCTTAAATGTGACATTTTCTTTCTTTTTTTTTTTTTTTTTTTTTGAGACGGAGTCTCGCTGTGTGGCCCAGGCTGGAGTGCAGTGGCCGGATCTCGGCTCACTGCAAGCTCCACCTCCCGGGTTCACGCCATTCTCCTGCCTCAGCCTCCGAGTAGCTGGGACTACAGGCGCCCGCCACCACGCCCGGCTAGTTTTTTGTATTTTTAGTAGAGACGGGGTTTCACCGTGTTAGCCAGGATGGTCTCGATCTCCTGACCTCATGATCCACCCACCTCGGCCTTCCAAAGTGCTGGGATTACAGGCTTGAGCCACCGCGCCCGGCCTAAATGTGACATTTTCAAGATCCAAGAACACATTCATTCTCTCTCTCTCTTTTTTTTTTTTTTTTTTTTGAGACGCAGTCTCGCTCTGTCGCCCAGGCTGGAGTGCAATGGCGCGATCTAGGCTCACTGCAACCTCTGCCTCCCGGGTTCAAGTGATTCTCCTGCCTCAGCCTCCCGAGTAGCTGGAATTACAGTAGTCTGCCACCACGCCCGGCTAATTTTTGTATTTTTAGTAGAGACGGGGTTTCACCAGGCCAGGCTAGTCTCGCATTCTTAGCTATTATACCATTTCAATTGGTAATCTTACCTTTCGACTACTATAATACCAATAATTTTTTTAAACTTCTAATTTTTGGAGGACATTTATAATTGATTTATAATACCTAAAAATAATCAAAAGCCCAAATGTCTACTCCTGGGTGAACTGCTGGGCACTATTGTATGTTAATAAACTAAGATATTATATTTTTATTAGTAGTAACAATTATTAAGATTGAGAGTCAGGATAAGAAAAGCTACTGGAAATAATAGATGAAAATATAGAACTCAGAATATGAGAAATAGAATGTAAATAATTGTGTAAAAAATGTCTAGTTTAGAATACTGAAGTTTGTTTTGTTTCATTTTACTTAACTTTTAAAACTTACATCTTTTGTTTAATTTTTATTTTTTGGATAAAAACTTGGTTAATTTTGCCTGATTACTTTAAACATTGGAAGCAAAATACAAGATTTATATTTCATGCTACAGGACAGCTTCCATCATCCATCTAGAAAGAGAGAGAGAGAGTGAGAGAGAAAGAGAGAGAGAGAGAAGCGCGGCGGTGATAAGTCTCCCAGAGCGAGAGAAATCTGGGAGGGGCGAAGAAGGGTAGGCCTCTTCTGTTCCATTGATACCACGTTCATTCACAGGAGCCGGCTAAAACAGACTACTCCCCTGTGCAGTCGTTCCATCTACCCTAATAAGGCTTTGGCGCCTCTCCCAGAACTCGGTAAGTTCAAAGTGTAGTAAAGTGCATGTTTCCAAGGAATCATCTGAAATGATTTTCTAGATAGTTTACTGGACGTTGGAGAAGGGAGAAAACGAAGGAAGGGGTAGAGGGGGCAATTATCACGCATCGTTTTGCTATCGTATTTGCAAGGGGAAGAAAATCTCAATGCATACATGGTTTGAAAGTGATTATTTAGACAGTAAGCAGTTTCCCCAGGAAAGCTCCTCAGAGGGTCTCCTCGCAGGCTGCAGCTTCCAGAAAGTCTGCGAAGGGTAGTTCGCAGGTGCATGTGTCTGGGCAAAGCGCTGCGCCTAGCTCAGTTGGTGTTGTCTCTGCCTCTGTCCGCAGGTCCAGGGAATGCTCTCTGCCTGGTCCAGCCCCGACAGACGCGGTCCGAGAAGAGCGGAGCGCGGAAACCGCGGAGCATGAGTCCTCCGAGGCTGCGAGCGTCGCTGTCGCCGTCGCTGCTGCTGCTGCTGCTGAGTGGTTGCCTCCTCGCGGCTGCTCGGAGGGAAAAGGGGGCTGCTAGCAACGTGGTGGAGCCGGTCCCTGGGCCCACAGGCGGCTCCTCGGGTCGCTTCCTCAGCCCCGAACAGCACGCGTGCAGCTGGCAGCTCCTGCTTCCCGCCCCGGGGGCCGCAGCGGGCAGCGAGCTGGCGTTGCGCTGCCAGAGCCCGGACGGAGCACGCCACCAGTGCGCCTACCGCGGGGAGCCGCAGCGCTGCGTAGCCTACGCCGCTCGCCGCGCGCACTTCTGGAAGCAGGTGCTGGGCGGGCTGCGCAAGAAGCGGAGGCCCTGTCACGACCCCACGCCGCTCCAGGCCCGCTTGTGCGCGGGCAAGAAGGGCCACGGTGCCGAGCTCCGACTAGTGCCACGCACGTCCCCGCCCGCACGCCCCTCCGCCGCGGGATTCGCGGGGGAGTCCAAGCCCAGGGCCCGCAGCCGGGGACGGCCCCGGGAGCGTGCGCCCGGCCCAGCCGCTGGGACCACGCCACCCCAAAGCGCACCGCCGAAGGAAAACCCCTCTGAGAGGAAGACCAACGGGGGCAAGAGGAAGGCGGCCTTGGTCCCCAACGAGGAGCGACCCATGGGGACCGGGCCCGACCCCGACGGGCTAGATGGGAACGCGGAGCTCACGGAGACCTACTGCGCTGAGAAGTGGCACTCCCTCTGCAACTTCTTTGTCAATTTCTGGAATGGCTGAGACTGCCTGCCAGCTTAGGGAGGGATGGGGGGGAGGCGTGGGGAAGGGAAAGCTAAGGGCGTCTTAGACCGGGGGCTACCATGATAGAGAATGGGGAGAAGTCCGGGTTCCCGAATGGGGCGGGGGCAAGGGTAAGGGTGGGGTGCTTGGGATGAGAGTGTAAGGGGTATGGAGAATCTCTGGGATAGCAGAGACGTTAAAAATTTTAAAGAGTCTCAGTCCTGATTAAGAGCAGGAAAAATAATGGAAACAGAAATAGGAGTACCTTAAGTGTGCAAAAACTAGAGACTGGGGAGAGAAATCGATGTCGAGAGAGGCTGAGAATAAGGGGGAGATAGAGTGACCAAGGTGATGTGAGTCCCATGTGGGGAGGGGGATGCAATGCTTATTGTTTAACATTTCTATTAAATGCAGCCATGAGCAATTGCCAACCTGAGCCAGGTTGAATCATGTCTTCTCACCTAATCAGCTAACAAGACTGCAGACTTCTTTCCCCTTTTTGAATTGGTATAAACTTGGATGCGGCGTAGTGGGTGTCATAGATAACCTTTATAGGAACAGAAGCCTCACAGGTCAAAACTGGCTCCAAGGAAAGGTTTGCAGAATGATTTCCTTTCCATTCTTTTAGAAGATCTACTTTTTTTTTTTTTTTTTTCTAAGACAGGGTCTGGCTTGCCCAGGCTGGAGTGCAGTGGCTATTCACAGATGCAATAATAGGCACTGCAGTCTCCAACTCCTGGCCTCAAGGGATCCTTACATCTTAGCCTCCAGGATAGCTAGGAGTAGCTGGGACTACAAGCATGCACCGCTGCACTTGGCTTATAAGTGCTACTTTACTTTTATTTTTGAGACAGGGTCTTGTGTCATCCAGGCTGGAGTGCAGTGGTGCAATTATGGCTCACTGCAGCCTCGACATTCCAGTCTCAAATGATCCTCCTGCCTCAGCCTCCGGAGTAGCTCGGACTACAGGGGTGTGCCACTAGAAGTGCTACTTTTTAACAAAATGGTGACTAATGTTCTGGAACTTTCCCATTAACCTTCTGCATTTAGAAGTGAATTATAGATGTTGAGTGTTCCAGTAAAAAGTGATTCTCTTTATATTTGATGATATTTTTTAAAATAGCTAAAATGTAAGTATGTATCTCAGAGTCATTTTGACCATTATGGAATTTGTATCTCTCTGTTTCATGTAACTAATTATTAATGTATTTCATTTGTGTGTGTGATGTAATGATAGACTGTGTATGTTAGGTGCTCAATAAAAACTGTATGGTTAGATTTAAAGAATTGACAAGGCAATGGAAATTCTACCTGCATTTGATCTACTTCCAAGTACACCTTGAATTAAGTTCTTAAACACATCTTGAATTGCTGGGAAAAGACAGAAACTAAGAAGCTGACATAAAGCAAGAGTCACAAACTGGCAGCCACCTGGCCCTATCATTGTTCTATTTGATTTGCACCCTGGTTCTCTTTCTTTTTCCCTTCCTCCCCACTTTCCTCCCATCCATTGTTGAATCCATGGATGCAGAGCCCATGGATATGGAGGGGCAGCTATATATATATGTGTGTGTGTGTATATATATATATATATGAAAAAACATATATGTTTTTCCATTATATGTGTGTGTGTGTGTGTGTGTGTGTGTGTGTGTGTGTGTGTGTGTTGCAACCACTTATTTGGGAGCTTGAAGTTAAATCCTCTTGGTCATTCCCTTCTTAACAAGGTGAGATCACTTTATTCTGAATATTTTGGTCCTCCATTTGAAGCAAACCATTGCATACTATATTAAAACAACAACTTCATAGTCCTTGCACCCTAAACACCTATGATCTCAAGAACACAAAATTTGTTCAAAATAAATCAAAGTTAAATTCAAATTCTTCAAATAAGAGTAAGTCATTACTTTATTCTCTTAACTCTACAAGTTACATATGGTGGCAGACTATATGTAAGTATATATTTACTTAACATGGTCCCTACTTCCTGGTATTCTCACCTCTTGTATTCCCTTCTCTTTGATTATGTGCAGGGCCTGTGAATTGCTTCTAAGCATGGTGGGTATACTATCACCTGAAAGATGTATCTTAGTTTTCCACATTCTGCTGACTGAAAGAAAACTCTGGGTAAGTTCCAGTCTTGCTATTCAACAGGGCAAGGTTCAAAGCCAAAACAAGAGTTCCAGAAAAGGTCAAGCTAGAAGCAGCAGGGAGTCAGGCCAACCTGAGTGGAAATGAACAATGGAGGCTCTAGGGAAGAATCAATTTCCTTGCCCTTTCCAGCTTCTAAAGCTGTCCACATTCCTTGGCCCTTGGTTTTCTTCCATCGTCGAAGCCAACAATCATCTCATTCCAACCTCTGCTTTTATCATCACATCTCCTCCTCTGACTTTCTTTCTTGCCTCAACTTAAAAAGACACTTATAAATACACTGGGCCCATTCAAATAATCCAGGATAATTTTTCCATTTCAAGGTCAGTTGGTTAGCAGACTTAATTTTATCTGCAACCTTAATTTCCCATTGAAATATAATGCAATTTATCCCAATATATCCACAGGTTCTGCGGATTAAGATGTCAACACAGGGCAGGGGTGGGAGAGGTGGGGAGTGGGGTGGAGAGTGGGAGCATTATTCTGCTTACCACAAGTGGCTACGTCCAACAATGTGAACTCCAAAACAAAGGAAAAGGATAAAGAGGGACATTATATAATGACAGAAGGATCAACCCACAAAAAAGACAATCCTAAATGTGAGGGTACCTAACAGTACAACAAAATACATGAAGCAAAAGCCGATAGAATCAAAAGGAGAAATCGATAAATTCACTATTATATCTGGAGACTTCAACATTTCTCTTTCAGTAATAAATAGAAAAAGAAGACAGAAAATCAGTAAGAATATAAAAGACCTGAACAATACTATCAACAAACTTGACCTAATTGACCTTTCTGGAATACTGTATCCTATAACAGCAGACTACACATTTTCAAGTATTCACAGGACATTCACCAATATAGACCACATTCTGGACCATAAAATGAATTGCAACATATTTAAAATAATTTAAATAATACAAAGTATGTTGTTTGACCATAAAGGATTTAAGTTAGGAATCAATGAAAGGAGATTTGGAAGTTTTCCAAATATTTAGAAATCAAACATACTTCTAGATAACCCATGGATCAGAGAGGAAGTCATAAGGGAAATCAGAAAATATTTTGCACTGAAAAATTATTCTTCTGCCTAGAAGTTTTAAGATTCTCTTCTTTAGGTAGGATTTCATTGTTTGCTACGAGATGCCACTTTTCTTTGAAATACTATAGTGTTTTCAAAATGCAGATACCCAGCCAATGAGGTCATGAAATCCATTTAGTGCGTTAAAAAAAAGGAAAAAAGAAAATAGAATGTAGGCCGGATGCACTGGTTCATGCCTGTACTCTCAGCACTTTGGGAGGCCAAGGAGGGCAGATCATGAGGTCAGATGCCTGAGACCAGCCTGACCAACATGGTGAAACCCCATCTCTACTAAAAATACAAATATTAGCCAGGCATGGTGGCGCATGCCTGTAATCCCAGCTACTCAGGAGGCTGAGCCAGGAGAATCGCTTGAACTGGGGAGGCAGAGGTTGCAGTGAGCCAAGATCGTGCCACTGCACTCCAGCCTGGGCAACAGAGGGAGACTTGGTCTCAAAAAAAAAAAAAAAGAAAGAAAGAAAAGAAAACAGAATATAAAATGTCGGACCAGGTGTGGTGGCTCACACCTGTAATCGCAGCCTTTGGGAAGCCAAGGCAGGCAGATCTCTTGAGGTCAAGAGTTCGAGACCAGCCTGGCCAACAAGGTGAAACCCTGTCTCTACTTAAAATATAAAAATTCGCCTGTAATTCCAGCACTTGGGGAGGCTGAGACAGGCGAATCACCTGAGGTCGGAAGTTCTGGACCAGCCTGACTAACATGGTGAAACCCTGTCTCTACTAAAAATACAAAATCAGCAGGTCATGGTAGTGCATGCCTGTAATCCCAGCTACTCAGGAGACTGAGGCAGGAGAATCACTTGAACCCAGGAAGCAGAGGTTGCAATAAGCCAAGATCATGCCATTGCTCTCCAGCCTGGGTGACAGAGAGAGACTACATCTGAAAAAAAAAAAAAATGGCCAGGCGTGGTGGCTCACGCCTGTAATGCCACCACTTTGGGAGGCTGAGACGGGCAGATCACCTGAGGTCAGGAGTTTGAGACCAGCCTGGCCAGCATGGTGAAACCCCATCTCTACCAAAAATATAAACATTAGCTGGGTGTGGTGATGGGCACCTGTAGTCCCAGCTACTTGGGAGGCTGAGGAAGGAGAATCGCTTGAACCTGGGAGGTGGAGGTTGCAGTGAGCTGAGATCGTGCCACTGCACTCCAGCCTGGGGGACAAGAGTGAAACTCCATTTAAAAAAAAAGAATATAAAATGTTGGCCTGGCACGGTGGCTCATGTCTGTAATTCCAGCACTTTGGAGGCGGAGGCAGGCAGATTGCTTGAACCCAGGAATTTGAGACCAGCCTAGGCAACATGGCGAAACCATGTATCTACAAAAATTTTTTTAAAAAACTTTTGCACTAAATGAACATAGGACATATCAAAATTTGTCTATTGTAGCTAAAGCATTACTTAGAGATAAATATAGAGCATTAAATGCACATATTAGAGAAGGTAGTGGCAGAGCTAGAACAGAAGCCAGCTTTCCCCAGGCTTTCTATGATACAGCATTGCTGGCGTTTCAGGATGAGAGTTTCTTTACTGCTCTTGGTGGTAAACTGCCAGTTATTCAGCCCAAATCTAGTCTCCCCTTTTTTTCCCTGAGTGCATGCCACCTAGCCAGATACATTTTCTAGCCTTTCTTGCAGAGAGATGTGATAAAAATGACTAAATTTTTTCTAAATGATTTGTGCAACTTCAATTTCAATGTGCTTTAAAAGATATTGCTTGCCTTGAACTCTCTCTCCTTTCTCCTCTCTAAGCGGCGGGACTTAGATGCTCTTGCAATTCAACTTTAACCACGCAGAGGAATACATTACCCTAGAGGATGACAGTGTAACAAGATGGAAGGAATCTGAGTTCCTGAATAACCTCCTGGAAAACTGCCTCACCACTCTGCATGGGCTAGACCTTTATGTAAGAGAAAAACAAAATGTACAATAAATACTCATTATTTGTGGAATCTGTATTTGTGATTTTTCCCTACTTGCTACAATTTATTGGTAACTCCAAAGCAATACTCATGGTGCCTTTGCAATCATTGGTGGATACACACCTGCAGATAGTGGTGAAAAATTTGTCATCCAACATGCTTGTTCCCAGCTGAAGTCAAAGAAGGCATCACTCTGCCTTTTTGCTTCAGCTCTAATACTGTAAATAAGTCTCTTTTTCATGGTTTATTTAGAGCCACATTTTTTGCACTTTTGTGCTCTTTGTTAGAATTTCTCAGTTTAAAATGGCCTCCAAACACACTGCTAAAGTGTTATCTTGTGTTCCTAAGCACAGGAAGCTGTGATTTGCTTTAAAGAGAAAATGCGTGTGTTGATAAGCTTCCTTCAGGCATGAGTCACAGTGCTGTCGACCAGAAGTTCAACATTAATGAATCAACAGTATATATTAAGTAAGGTGTCCTTAAACAGAAACACCCATACAACAAATTGTGTATTGAATGGTTGATGAAAAATGTTGTGACCAAAGGCTCATAGGAACCTAATCCTGTATATTCCCCAGGAGCAGTTGTTCTGTATTTGCTAAGTCAGTGTTCACACTGACTTTATAGAACATAACTACTGCAAATAGTGAGATTCAACTGTATTTCTTATTTAAGCCCCTGTATTCTGAGATTATCATTTACCTTAACTAATATAAGATTCTAGTGCAGTTCCTGTTAGTCAAAAATAAATAGTGTATGTATTGATTCTAAGGTATATTTTGTATCACCAATGTCCCCATACTGCACACTTACAAGGGGGTAACTGGAGTTTAATGAAGGAACTATTTACAAGAGTGTAGAGTAAGTGGACTGTACTGGGGTGAATAGGCCTCCAAAGATCCACATCCTTCTCAGAACCCCAAAATGTGACCTTACATTGAAATAGGGTCTTTGTAATTAGTTAAGATCAGATCATACTAAAGTAGGGTAAGCCCCAAATCCATTTTGATTGCAGTCCTTATAAGAAGAGAAGAGACACAGATGGGGGAAGGCCACGTGAAGGAGGCAGATACTGGAATTATGTATCTACAAGCTGATTAATGCCACAAATTGCCAGCAACCACTGGGACCAGAATAGGGTTAGGAAGGAGTCTTCCCTAGTCTTCATGCAGAGAAAGCATGGCCTTGCTAGCACCTTGATTCCAGGCTTCTAACCTCCAGAACTGTGAGAGGATAAATTTCCCTTGGTTTAAGCCATGAGGGTTCTGGTACTTTGTTAAGGCAGCCCCAGGAAACTAATTCAGGGGCTAACAAGGCACCGTGGGGCACCTCGGACTGTAATAGGGAGATGCTATTATCAGCCCTGGACCCAAAGCCGGAAGGGCAGGAGTGGCTACCGGAAATCAGAGAGAGAGAGAGAGAGAGAGAGAACTCAGAACTGTGGGGGAAAGGGTCACTCAATAAGAACTACAGTCTTAGGTACCTAAATGTAACCACTGTCAAAATCTTGGTCTATAGGGAGGGACCCAAGAGAATAAACACCTTAAGCTCTCTCTCCAGCTGCCCTTCGACCTTCTGTTTCCCCTTTCCATGGACTGAGCCTGATTAGAAGCCAGAGATAAGGGCACCTGGGTGCTATAGTGCTTAGTGATCAGCCTTCTGGGCTCAGAGCAGGGTAGATGGAGAAGGGTGCAGAGTGGATCTGAAGGAACAAAGACTATTTGGCACATGTTTTCTCCCTCACATTTACATCTGAAGTCATCTTATAATCAGTGGTATGTCATCGTTTAATTGGTAGTATCGTATCTTTGTTTTTTGTTTTGACACAGAGTTTCACTCTCTCACCCAGGCTGGAGTACAATGGCGCAATCTCGGCTGGCTGCAACCTCGGCCTACCGGGTTCAAGCGATTCTTGTGCCTCAGCCTCCCAGGTAGCTGGGACTACAGGCACGCGCCACCATGCTCGGTTAATTTTTGTATTTTTAGTAGAGATGAGATTTCACCATGTTGGCCAGGCTGATCTTAAACTCCTGACCTCAAGTGATCTGCCTGCCTCGGCCTCCCAAAGTGCTGGGATTACAGGTGTGAGCCACTGTGCTTGGCCAATATCTTTTTACTTTCTTAGTGCTACATTAAAAATGGCATGTACTATAACTGATAGAGTCTTAGGCTCAATAAAATACATTAATAAATATAATGTTGGGTACTCAGGATTGACAGAAATATAGACATATGAGACCCCGTTCTATGTGTACTGTCCAGGGAATGGAACAGGAGTAATAAGTGAAGAATATATTAACAGTGCAACTCAGATGACAAATGAATATTTTACAACTGAGTATGTACAGGCTCGGCTGATCTGTTGAGGACTGGACCAGAGGGTGTGCCCATAGCCCATAGCATGAATATGACACTGGACCAGTATCATTGCTGCTCATTTCTGGTCAGACTATAGCATTATGTCCCATTCTAGGGCAAAGAGAAATATGGAAACTTTGAAGAGTATTCATAGGAGAGCCACAAAGATGTAACGCCTTTGAGGAAAGGTATATCGCAGTGGGCCCTCTAGGAATCAGCTGGCAGGAGGTACAGGGGGAAATGACTGTAGGGGGGAAAGGGAAGACGCGGAGAACCTGAGTCAGGTGCAGGGCAGGTAGGAGGAAGGAGGATATGGTAGGAAGAAACTTAGCTCTGTGCAGCTCAGAAAATCTCAGCTGTGCTAGTGGGGACACCCAGAACAGAGACTGCTCATTGGAGGAGCCTCGCATTGGACAGGCCTCATTGGATGGGAATGACCTGGTTCTAGATCCCCTATGGGCACAGTCATTAGCTGGAAGTGTCCCAAAGAGACATTCTCTTGGTAAGAATACCGTGGTGGGTTCTGAATTTGCTGCTGCTGGACATGGTCAGCTAACTACACTCCTCACAGAGGCGCTCACTCAAAGGGAGGTTTGAGCAGTGTACTCCCCAGCGCACTCCCCATAGCTACTACAAATGGTTAAAAAAAGACTACAGCTTTGGTTTGGCTGGGGCATGATTTGGGTGTTTTTTCCTCCCATTACCATAAAAATGATTACAGGTAGACTCTACTAAGAGTATGGGTGATGGAGACCAACATGCATGAGTTCAAATCTTGGTATTACCACTACCCAGCTCTGTGACCTTGGACAATTCATTTCATCTCTTTGAGCCTCAGTTTTCTCATCTATAACATAGTTTTTGAGAGGATTAAATGAGATGCTCATGTAAAGCACAATGTCTGGCATGTTGTAAGCATGCAATAAATACATCATAGGGCTCCAATTTCCTTTAGTGTACCAATAAAGGCATCTAAAGGTAATTTTCAGTTTTAAAGAGCACATATGCAAAATGGTGATCAGCAATTCTCCATCTCAGCTGGGGGCAGCATAAAAAGAAGGAAGTGGCTGGGTGCAGTGGCTCACACCTGTAATCCCAGCACTTTGGGAGGCTGAGGTGGGCGGATCATGAGGTCAGGAGATCGAGACCATCCTGGCTAACACGGTGAAACCCCATCTCTACTAAAAATACAAAAAATTAGCCGGGCATGGTGGAGGGTGCCTGTAGTCCCAGCTACTTGGGAGGCTGAGGCAGGAGAATGGCTTGAACAGAGCAAGACTCCGTCTCAAAAAAAAAATTAGCCGGGCGTGATGGCGGGCGACTATAGTTCCAGCTACTCGGGAGGCTGAGGCAGGAGAATTGCCTGAATCCAGGAGGTGGAGCTTGCAGTGAGCCAAGATCGCGCCACTGCACTCCAGCCTGGGTGAAAAAAAAAAAAGAAGAAGCAAGAAATGTGTAGTTATAGAAGAGAGAATTGTCTGATGATGAGAGCAATATACAGTACTCGTATCCCTAAGGTGGAAGCACGCGGGCTTGTAAGACCTCCTTCCATAAGGAGGACTTGAAAGGAGATGAAACTGCATCTGTCCAGGAGTTCATATATGGTCTCGGAGGCGAGGGGACCACAGCTGACCTCCCAGGTCTATGGCTTTCTTATAACTTCAAAGAACAATTTTCTTTAGTTCCTGACTAATGCTTACAGCTGCAGGGCTTTGATGAACTTACCCCAAGTTTTGTCCCTCCCATGACCTCTGGTTCACCACATTCAAACTTTTCCCCATTACAAAATTTAAAAGCAGCCATGAAAGCAGGCCACAGTCCTCCTCTCCCTTTTAAAGCAAGATGCCTACTTTAGCCATATTAAAATTACTGAGTGGTTGTCATATACAGATGAGTAGTTTAAAATATGATGAAAAATATCATTCATAATAGCCACACAAGATAAAATACTGAATCACTCAACAAGAAATATGCATGAGGTATATGAAGAACACAGAAATACTTTTGAGAGCAGAAAAAAATTCAAATAAATGAAAACATATGGATTTATTATGATGATTATTAGATAAGAAACCTTAGTGTTTAAAAAAGTGTCAATTCCCTCTGGATGAATGTATACAATTAAACGTGGTTACAATAACGATAATACCAATAGGATTTTGGGAGTGTGAAAACCAGGCAAACTGACTCTAAAGTTCCAATGGAAAACCTAGGTAAATTGGGAGGCTGGAGGGATGCCAAGTTGTATGTTTCAGAGACAGAGAGGAAAAAAAGAATGCTTTCATTAAGGCATACAACATAAAATGGCTAAGTACAGACTCTCCCAAAGGAACACTGACAAAACACTGCAAAACAATGTAAATGGTCTTGGGGGGCTGTTTTTAGGTAGCCATGGGGACTCTCTGTAAAAGGCCCATAAAAGGCCTGAAGCTTCGAAACACTTCAGTTGATAGTTGCTGCCTTTGAGCTGGGTGGTCATGTGATCATGGTAGGCCTGAAGACCCCAAACCTTTGATCCATATGTTCTTTGTTCCCATGCACAATGATTACAATAAGAAAGATTATCCTCCAAATCAAGACAGGGATAGGGCCTTTGTGCCTTGATTTTAAGATGTGCAGAGAGAGGCGAAAGAAACACTGCCAGTGTGGAATCCCCAGAAGGGTGAGATGTC